AGAAATACGACTTTTGTAGGTAAACCGTAAAAGAAACCCCCTACGTTCCCCTACAAATTACCATTTTCCCCGTAGGTATTCCCTACTCCCTACAAGAGGTGATAATCCCCTACTGTAGGGGAATCCCCCTACGAGTGGCAGCCTTGCCCTTCGCGCTTCGCTTCAAGTTCTAAAAGTGGCCCGCAAAAATTTGCACCGCCCGCAAATGTGCCCGGAAAAAGGGCCTGCGGAGGAGGTAGTGTAGAACTTGCGATTATGAATGTGTTCATGTATCTATTAGTCTTAAGTATTGGAAAGTCCTCAGGGATTAATGTGCAGACAGTACAGTACTAGCACAGTTAATAAAATAAGATTTCCTATTTTATTAACTGTGGTACTAGTGAGTAAATTGAGTTCAAATAGTGCCGCGAAGTTTGTGATTTGGATCTTCAATGATTTCTGTATCCGTTCAATGTCTTTACTCAGGTAATTTGGGATTCCGTAATGAAAAACGGGCGATGCATATTCTACTATCTCGGTCGGATGCAAGTACAATAAAAACAAATCATCTCAGCAGCGGGTACATTCGCTCGTTTTAACTGACGTAAATTACAAACACTCCTTGTAAATCTTAACCATGTAATTCAGCTGAATAGCTGTATTAAGTTGGTAATTTTTTATTACTGTAAACTATTAATATATATCAAAATATTGTCGCAGAAAGTCACAGTCTATAGAATAGACCCTTCAATAAACCCTAAGACCCCTTGCCTTGCTTTATACGTTTTTCTGCCAGACAAATTCTGATTATGAATATTCATACTTGCCAAACTGAAATTTGAGAATTTAAATACACGTTGTTTGATGGTTTTACACTGAGCGAATTGAGTCATTCGAGATCGCGCCTTTCAAGAGATGTTTTTGACCCTGTTTTGAAATATAAACAAGTAGGCGGAGCTTAATCAAACACGCTTGACAATTAGTTAAAGCGGCAATCCCTCTATTTATTAGGGATTGCTCGCAGTCTAACAACTTGATGAATCACTTCACAACAAGACGTGCCAAGACCGCACAAATTACGTCACTCAGTTCAAAACATGTCGTGTCAGTTCACGTGGACGCGAATCATTTCACATTTAGTTGAATCATTTCACATCTTGTTGAATCATTTCACATCTTGTTGAATCATTTCACATCTTGTTGAATCCTTTCACATTTGAGTGATTTCACATGGTATTGAATCGTGTCACATCTAGTTGAACGATGTCGCATTTAACTGAGTGATTTCACATTGCATTGAGTCGTTTCACATTTAGTTTATTTATTCCACATAAGGTTGAATCACGTCCCATCTAGTTGAATCATTTCGTATTTAGTTGAGCAATTTTAAAACACAGCGGATGGTTCTAAAAAAGCATGAATTATTTGCCAACCGAACGTGTCACTTGTATACGACCTGCTAATAAATTAGTCATTGTAAAATATGCCAAGCCATTTCACTTGAACTATATGAATCAGCGCAATAATAAACGAATGAATACACAATCAAGTGAATCGTTTCAATTTTAAACAAATCATTTCTGGTCTTGTCCAGTCATATCACTACGTTAGGTCCAAGCATTTCTAAACATAATGACTCGTTCTATATTATATTGTAAACTTTATTGGACAGTAAAACAAGACATACCAAACGTCCCACTCCCATGCGAGGCACTCTACCTTTTTACAAATTGATTAAATTACAAAAATTATTGTTACGATGACTACAACTAAAATAAACATATGCCAATTGTTTGAAGCTCAAACATATTAAATGTGGTTGGTTTAAATAAAGTGATTATAATGATTATAATTCGTGTTTGTAATGAATGATTTCTGTTTATGTCCATTCATTTCACACGTGTAGTATTTTTGGTGGTAACGGCCGCCCATAATTTACCACAACCCGCTTGTTTGGGCTCCTATGCTGCAACTTGCGCGTTTCTGGCTGTGTACACTCAATCCAGGTGGAACTCAGTGCGCGTGACACGTGGGCTGCGCGTTGACACGCGTGCATTGGTTGATTATAATTACTGACGTCATTCTAATAAAAATCAGCAGGAACTCCAAACCTGTTTGCTGGCGCTACGCAGGGTGATTCAGATGGCATTCAAGGTGATATACCAAGGCCAAGGTCGTTATACAACGGATTAATTCGACCACGATTCGACCAAGGCCATCATGGGTATAAGGAAATATCTGGCAAGACGACGAAAAAATAAGAAAGTGTTGGAACCTGTCCTTCCTCCAGACGGAGGCTGGGGTTGGGTAGTGTGTGCGGCTGCGTTCCTCATCCAGTTTATTGTTCTGGGGACCATGAATAATTTTGGAATCTTGTATGTTAAACTCTTCGAAGATTTTGGAAGGAAAGCCTTCTTAACATGTAAGATTTTGTCATTGTTAGTCTCGATACAAAATTAATGCTTGTTTTAAATGCCAAATATGTACCTGTCGCTTTTTATCAAATTTATCAAACACCAGACTGAAAATGAAAATTTTATTTGTGCATAGATATAATTGTTTTGTATATAATTTTTTTATACATTTCACTCTTGTATGTTGTTGCAACATCTCATGTTGCAACATTTGATTGGAACCTTGCAATTAGGAAGTCTTATCATAAGCTCGATTATATTATTTTTGGTATGTAGAGTTTATGGGCTTAGCTATAAATTTGGAAACACTCAACGAAGGGCTGTATATCGATAATATCGATATCGTCAATTTAACCTTGTCATGATCGCACATCACGTCCGTATTTTCACTTCCCTAAAAAATCAACTGTCGAGGACAAGTGTTCAGACGCAGACATAATGAAATTCCTTATACTATGATTATAGCCCATATTATGATACCTTCATTTCGGAGTATTTACTCTAACTTTTATTCGAATGTTGGTTGTAGATTTGTCTGAGCTGCTTCCAACACACTCGATCCCTGACAGCCCTGACATCTGGAAAACATCTATATAAATCAGTATTCCACATGTACATATCAGACACATGAAAATAACCGCCTTCACAGTGCAGAATTTCAACTTGGATCAGTTTTCAATCCTAAGGATCTGTACTCTTGTCGGACCAGTTTAAATTAACACTTATAAAGTTGGAATCTTGCAATTTATATTGCAAACGCACTGGCAAGAATTGTTCCCAGCGATTTTTTTCAGTGCGGGCTTTACCCTGTGTTGTCGCCGCATGCTTATTACGTTACCTGCAATTGCCACCGTATGGCGAAATAGCGTGGGGAAGCTATGCAATGAGTTGTGTATTGAGAATATAATTTTTAAGACTGTGTAAGTGTTAGAGAATTTTTTTAAATCTTGTTTTTTTATCCTTGACATTAGTTTGTTTATCAGGTAAGTTCAAATCTCTCCAGCAGAGCTTCACCGATCACGCGATAAACATGTGTACATTGTGGTTTATTAAATACTATTTTGAGTCTACTGCAGCCGAGCGTGTCATCATATGACTTCATCATGACTTTTCCTTATTCTATGCAAATTATGCTTGAACAATGAAAACTTATATATTGTCAATTTTGAACTACGCACTTCAGGCATGCTTGTGAAATGCATATACATACTAGTTTCCCAGGGGAGAATGGCGGAAATTGCGCTATCTCACTTATATGGTCTTATATCTGCTTGCAGGAATTGGGCATTGCAGTGACCATTCAAAAAGTAAATATCCATCATAAATGTCAAAATAGAAAGTAATATTATCTCAGTTAGCCTTCAGTTGTCAAATACATGGAAATCAACTTCAAGTTCCTTCCCGGCAGGAAGTACCTTGTCATTCCCAAGGTCATTCCTTGCCAATCCTAAATGACTTTTGGTTTTGTTTCAATTATAATTTCGCAAGAATCATTATCCCATAGCGTACAACCACAGTGGTAGGCTACAACCCTGAGTCTCGCCGAGACGCTGTAGTAAACGTGAAGTGAAACATTAAATGAAACCTACACTAAGTATATAAAAATGGCCAACGCTTTTTCGCACAATTTATATCACATTTCCTTTGGCTTTGCCTCTACTAGTAGTGCTACAAACAATGACGATCCGCTCTACAGTTTCAGATTCAAGTTTCAGATTCAAATTCAGATTCATATTCAGATTTGAATCTGAAACGGGGTCAATTGTCGCGTATAAAATGTGGAATTGCTCTGTCTCTTTTCACGGAATAAACGTAATTCGTCAAGGACATCCATCTTCAGACTATTGCGCATTTGACAAAACTATATTTTAATTTTTAGCTCATAATGTGAAGCCAGGAAAAGTCGCAGAAACTACACGGCCAACGCATGAATTCTTACTGCGCCATGTTTGTTTTGACCTGTCGACAAACTTATATTTCGCGGTGTATCCCAAAATACGCGTGTAGTTACCTAATTTGCGAAAGACATCCATTAGTACACTATAGTAAATTGTATAAAGCAAACTAGGTCTTAAAAACGTCAGTTGTTTTGTCAGGAAAAATCGCAAATCATAGATCATGAGATACGGCTTTTGTAACCTGAAGCGAACGTCAACAACGCAGATGAGAAAATAAACACTTCTCACGCGTCACACGCTTACTTTGGAATATTCGTCTGCGAAAGACATTCATCTACAACTATCACAAAATGATACAACGCAGTTGTTATTTTCAAACAGCTTGTTGTTTTGGCAGGAAAAATCGCAAAACACAACCGCTGTTGGGATCGAAAATCGGGGTGGCCATTAAAACTTTCATCACAGTTCGTTTAGTCTCATATAAGCGAAGTTTCGTTTGCCTTCGTAGTGAATCTTCACCAGTTAACTGTAAATTATGGTCAAGTTTAAAATACTTTAAAATTAGGCAAATATTTCTCGCGGAAAAAGGGCTTGGAATCGTTCTTTGGAAGAACGATAGGATATCAACCCCCCGGATTTTATTGTTTCAGATTCAAATTTCATAACAACAATCTCAGTGCGTATAATATAACAATCTTTTGCGATTTTTCCTGCGCATATGCGTTGCCGAATGGCAATAAGAACCAGACAGAATGAAGCGCACAATAATGTAGATGAATGTCCTTCTTTGCGGTATCTGCTGGTTTAATACAGTTGCTGTGGTTGAAGGATTTACGCAGACCAACGCTGTTTCAGCTCGAATCTGAAACTGAATCTGAATCTACATGAAATTTGAATCTTAACGAAAAATATCCGGGGGTGGCTGACATCCTATCGTCCTTCCATAACACGATTCCAAACCCTTTTCTGCGAAAAGTACAGGGCCGTTTTTCAGCAAATCAATATTTAATCGTAATTCCTAGTCAGTTAGTGAACATTTGCTGTGAAGACAATTATACTTGGTTTATATCAGTCTAAACGAACGTTTGGAAAAATTTTAATGCCCGCCCGGATTCTTGAATTCAATACATGTTGTATTTTGCGATTTTTCCTGCCCAAACAATAAGTTGTTCGACGATAAAAAATCCGTTATAGGATTCTATGATAGTCGTAGATGAATGTCTTTTGCAAAAGAATCTTCCAAATTTAAAGCATGCCGCGTGAGAAACATTTCTTCGGTTCACTTTGCAGTTGACCTTTGCTTCAGGTTGTAAAATCTACAACTCGTCTGTTGTGTTTTGCGATTTTTCCTGAGCTACAGAAAAGTGTTTCAAACTCTTACACTTCTTCATATCATCGGATTTAATGCATTAAAAGATGTCCTCCTTGAAAAGGTTTGATAACGCGCCTTTATCTATTAAAAAATGAGGACTAATACAACAACAACTGTTTGACAAGCCATGTCTGCATGTACAAGAGCAGTCTAAAATAACAATCTTTTGCGATTTTTCCTGCTGACATGGTTTGCTGAATCGGAATAAAAACCACACAGAATAAAGCGCACAGTAATGTAGATGAATGTCTTTCTTTGTACTATATCTGCCGGTTTATACAGTTGCTGTGGTTGAAGGATTTACGCAGACTAACGCTGTTTCAGCTCGAATCTGAAACTGAATCTGAATCTACATGAAATTTGAATCTTAACGAAAAATATCCGGGGGCGCCTGATATCCTATCGTTTTTTCATAAAACGATTCCAAGACCTTTTTTGCAAAAGGTATTGGGCTGCTTTTGACATAATTCAAACTTCAGCATAATTTACAGTCAACTGGCTAAGATTCAGTGTAAAGACAAACAAAACGTCGCTTATATCAGACTAAACGAACTGTGATGATAGTCTTAATGTCCGCCCGGATTTTCTATTCCAACACTGGTTGTGCTTTGCGATTTTTCCTGCCGAAACAACAAGCTGTTTGAAAATAACAAGTGCGTTGTATCATTTTGTGATAGTTGTAGATGAATGTCTTTCGCAAACGAATATTCCAAACTAAGCGTGCGACGCGTGAGAAGTGTTTATTCTCTCAGCTGCGTTGTTTTCGCTTCAGGTTACAAAAGCCGTATCTCATGATCTATGATTTGCGATTTTTCCTGACAAAACAACTAACGTTTTTAAGACCTAGTTTGCTTTATACGATTTGCTATAGTGTACTAATGAATGTCTTTCAGAAATTTGGGAACTACACGCGTATTTTACGATACAAAGCGAAATATAAGTTTATCGACAGGTCAAGACAAACATGGCGCAGTAAGAATTCACGCGTTGGTCGTGTAGTTTCTGCGATTTTTCCTGGCTTCACGTTATGAGCTAAAAATTAAAATATAGTTTTGTCAAATGCGCAATAGTCTGATAATGGGATGTCCTTGATGAATTACGTTTATTCCGTGAAAAGAGACTGAGCAATTCCACATTTTGTACCCCCCGTTTCATATTCAAATCTGAATATGAATCTTAATCTTGAATCTGAAACTGTAGAGCGGATCGTCAAACAATGGCGGAAATTCGCTGGGGGGGGCAAGCCTCCTAAATTTCCGTCAAAACTTTCAAATTTATGACATCCCCCCCCCATCTGCACTCGAAAAGACTGTTTTTAGCCCTCTTTTAGGTCAAAATTTCCGAATATTCGTCATTCGATTTCCGCCACTGGCTACAAATGGATAATCTTGACTCGATTTGTGGACACCCACAAAACAAGCTAAATACCAAACTGACAAATTGAGTATTGCATAACAGTAGGGTTAGTAAAGCTTTCTTCTGAAATTAATATTTAAGAGACCCCCTTAGTTTCGTATACAATATTAATAAGCAAAATTTTTGCACTGTGAAGTCGTCTTACAGACGCTTTGAAGACTGCGGAGTTTCCAGAATCCAGATCATATCATAAATGACTATCTTGATCGATCGCGGATTGACAATACGGTCAATGCGATCTTCATTTCTATAGGTGGGTTGTAGACTTCAGTTTTCTTGAAAAAACGTAAAAGCTCAGAAGGGTGATGATTAAGTCTTGTAAGGTGAGCC